TCTTTTTTTTTTTTTTTTTGGGGGGGGGGGGGGGGGGGGGGGAGGGGTGGGGGGGGGGGTGGGACAGAGGTAAGGTATCTTTTTTTTTTAATCGTCCAAGAATTCTCAATTATTCCTTTGTAACAGTATAAAAACCTAGGTGGCCACAACATTCACTCTTAAAGCTTTCACAGAAATTTTTTCTTCATTAAAAGGTGACTCCACTCATATTTGCATTCATTCACTCTTCTATTTCACACAATCTATAATAAAGTCATTTCTATGGAGAATCACATCTAACCTTAGAAGATTAATTGAAGTAAATGCATACTAGTATAAAGAACTACAAGAGCTAAATCTATACAAGGTATGTTTAAAACATGGTAACTATACCAAATATTACCTTTCTAATTGCATCTGGTAGCTGGCTCTAACAAAATTTACACATAAATTTAGAATTGTAAAATAACTTCAATTAAATACATGTTTAAATTTTGTAATTAAAGGAACTGACTGGTTGCCAATGTCAGTCTTGCTCATCCAGGACTTAACCAAGAACTATCTTAAGTTGACTGTATTACCTCATGCAGGGAGTCACATGAATATACTATATCATAGCATTAGGAACATATTGTATTTCAGTAGTGACAGAAGATAATTCCATTTATTTTTAAGAGGGGAAATTATGAAATTTTAGAAAAGATTATTCTGCTCAAATGGTTCATGCATGCAACATTTATACTGCATGAACTACTAAGTTTGAGCTTGTAGACATGAATAATGGCAAGATCATGCTAACATTACACACACATTCACAGAGAGGGAGACAGAGAGAGAGAGAGAGAGAGAGAGAGAGAGAGAGAGAGAGAGAGAGAGAGAGAAAGAGAGAGAAATGACAATACACTACCCTAGTCAAAATATATATAAAGAAGCCTACACAAACATCAATTAATTCAACATTGAAATCCAACCTATGGCTACACAGCTGCAAATAAACTGACGTCCAAAAGCACTCCCATACCATTTTAATAAAAGACAGCATGTCTTGGCATATTTACACTCTGAAACAAGGCTATTTCTCAAGCAAAGATAAACAAGGCAGCAAAGCTGACAAATGTACAGACAAAAAACAGAAAATAAAGATGCAGAAAAAGGTCATTTTATCAATTTTGATGCAATAATAAATAATGCTTATAATAGCACTGTCAGTCAACACTGAATTTTAATCATGCACAACAGGTAACATGGTCAATAACAGGAGTGGACCCTGAGATATTTTCTGACAGTATTCCAAAGTATCTATGTTGATCCATCCTCCATTTTGATGGTCTTCCAACAGTCACATGATGAAAGTCTCAATATTTGAAAAATGATGACAGTGCATAAAATAATTTTATATAATGTTTAAAGACATAAACGCAGGAAANACTTCTAAAAGAATGGCCTGATAATGCTGATTTTGGAACTCAACCTGCATTTTAGTTAGTTTGACTACTCCTGTGAGTATAATGACAATTGGCCTATCTGTTTTTCTTATATTGTGTTATTAGCATTGCATATATGTTGAAAGAAGTGAAAAAACAGCATAACTTCCCTAAGAATGGCCCAATCATGCTGATTTTGGAACTTTACCTGCGTATTATGTATATTCATCAGTTCTGTAAGTTTCAAGCCAAAAGATAAAATGGTTTTCCACTTATCGTGTTATCGGTGCTGCATATATGCTGAAAAAAGTGAAAAAACAGCATAAATTCTCTATAAGTGACCCGATCATACTAATTTTCGAACTTGACCTGTGTATTACGAATATTCATCAGTTCTGTAAGTTTCAAGCCAAAAGAAAAAACAGTTTTCCACTTATCGTGTTATCGGTAAAAGTGCACGGCGACGGCGACGACAGACGCAGATGATGGCTATATGTACAGACACATCTGTGTCTGTACATAAAAAAGACTTCTGCTGATGTGGCTCAATCTTTCAATTTTTTAAATACATAGCACAGAGGGGTTGCAAGTACTCACATATACCCATATCCCAATTTTTCAATTATTGCAGTTCTCTGTTCATACTCAAGCTTTGCACAATTTCTTTACACATTCATTTCAGAATCTGTCAAAATATCTCACATTTTTCCACATCTTGGAACCAATTCTATCACTTCTTTTTCCATGCAACATAAAACATAAAGCTACTTAAAGCTCCGATCTATAGCTGACATTCAGACATTAAACAGTAATTATCACTCAAATCAAACCAATCTCAAAGACTGCAATCTGTTTCTGTTTAAAAATACCTTGCGACACATTTTCAAATAAGTAACAACCACTTATACATAATTTAAGCATCATAGATATGCTTCATGCAAAAGAGGTTGAATATTTTTCATTTTCTTTTTTTTTTTTAACTTCAATCATTTTCCTTTTATTTAAAATTCAATAAAATATTTACTTAAAATTATTAAATTGGCTTTCAGATTATTTCATGATTTCAGAATATCTTAAAATAAACAATGTCCTCTACCAATAACGTTTAACCATACTGCATTTTCCTACCTCTGACGTCCTTCCGTACGAAGATCCGTACGACCTTTCTGAACACACACTAGAGGTCTCACTTCCAGCATCATCAGAGTCGTAGAGGTCGTATCTCTTTCGCAGAGCGTTGCCCTTGAGAAGAGCTTCCTCGAGTGCCTGTTCAATGTCCTGCCCTGAGACGTGTTGTCCCATGGCTTGCTTGGTGGGGACCCGCTGAGGGGCATGTCTACTGCCACTTAACCTCCTGTCACGACCTGGAAATACAGGGTGACCTAATAATATATATATACACACCCTTTTAATAATAATAATTTATTGAGCACAAAGAAATGGTTTACATTTACAGGCTCTCTAACTAATACAAATATTAAAAGAATAATTTTAGTAATAAACTATGCTCATCCACTCAGGGATACACACTTTTTAATTGCACTGTTTACAAATTTACCTATGGCAATCACACTCTGCGCTATTTATGTGGAAATGCAGGGTGATTTAAAACATTTTTTTACCCAGAATTACAGTGGTGTTATATGTATGCATGCTCATTTTATCTATTCTACAATGTGATCCATATTAGATAATTGTAGTTTCCAGAAAATGAAGATCATGAAGTCATGGTTTTACAAACCAGGAAGCTTACGAAGAAATAATCTACTCAAAACTGTATAAATGACTAGAGCCACAGCATATTCTTTAAATATCCTTTGCAGACAAATGTTACAAACAAAACATTCTTAACTTAGTGACAACTGATCTTTTTCTAAGCAAAACCATTTACCAAAAGAAATCACACAACTTTCCAGTGACGCACTTAAAATGCTGTATAATCTCTCAATGAGACCATAACCTACCATATGAGATTCTAGATGGGCTGGCCTCCCTGCTGGCGCCCTGACTGCGGGGGATTCCAGAGCGGCGTGGCTTACTGGTGCCCCCGGACGCATTACTGTCCACTCTGGATGGGATGTGAGTGAGATAACTGAGGCGGGATGACGGGGAACCGGAACGGCTGCTGGCTGTTAACAAAGATATCATTCAAAAATCAAATTTACTGGTTATGTTTGAGATTTATCAAATTATCAACGGTATCTCCGACTAGTCTAGAGTTTCACAGCTGATGAGGGCCAGCTTTTTCATTTTCAAATTTCTACACAGGCTCACTTATCAAATCTGAACTACAGAAGAGCTGCATTGAAATTTACCATGGAAATCACAATGCTAAGCTGAAATATCTCAAATAGAAAACCGGACACATTTTAGATTTGCTAGGTAGACTTGCTGCTGAATATCACAGTCCAATGAGGCACATGAAGTTTGAAAATGAAGAGGCTGGCAGACAGTATGTCAATCACAAGATCCTGGTGACCAAATGTATGGTGACAAACCAAGCACGGTATCAAGGTGAGTCAAGGCCAGGTTGAAATTCACTTTGGTTTTTTATCTTAGACTTTACAGCATCTTGGCTACAAAAAATGAGGGCGAATAAAGTAGTTCTCAAGTATACCAGTGAAGATGGAAAATGCAACCGTAATTTAAATTATTCTAACTGTGGTAATATACCTAGAAACAAGTTTCTTTAATATCTAAATGAGTTCTGCGCAAATTTTAAGCACTGCCTGGAGAAACTATTACAAATAAGGAAAGGGTCAAACAAACTACAGGGTGGAAAACTGTTGAATTTTTACAAAAGACAGTTATATCCATGTGCATAATTTTTCCCCCTCAATTTCATCAATATTTCAGAACAAATAAAAACAATCTTCTCAAAGGGGAAGAAAACATGCATATTTTGGTTTCACTGTATACACATCAAAGCACATTGACAACTTCAGGGAAATGCCCAAATGCCATGTCCTGACGTGTATTTATCTTAGCATCTTAGCATACTTCAAGGCAAATATTTCAATTTTTTTTGTTACAAATAATATAAAAGTCTAAAAACAATTTTTAAAAAATCATCAAAATGAAAAGACAAAATCCACCAAATTCAAACCACTACATTAATTCCATTTTTTTTTCTTATGGTGAAATAGTACATGTTAGCAAAAAGCAACACAGTACCAACAATATCTTATATGTTTTTTTCATCCTGAAATTCAAAATCACAATGTAACATCCAAGTGCAAAATGGCACAAATTGTGAACGCAACACATTTCTGTGGCATTAAAAGCACACAGCAAAGATCTCACAACATCAAAAGCCATAGGGGAATTTTAAAAAGCCAAGTATCAAAATATTTTTTTGTCATCTTTTCTCTTTTTTTCTGTCATTTTGAGCAATACAGTCAAGTAAATTGTATTAAAATTTTAAATGTAAGAAGATTACAAATGAAATCCAATTAAATTTAAAAGACTACCTTATGTCATCAAATCAGCAAGAAATTTGAAAATTAAAATGTGTAATCTATTTTACTCCACTTGAACAAAACCCTGTAGTCTGATACTTAGCCTTTATCACACTAGTTCAAAAAGCAACCTCACAAATTACAAGGTAAAAGAAAAAAACAAAGTTGACAAGAAAAAAGCCAGACTTACGCTGTGACTGGGAGACTCCAATACGCGACCTGGGTCGACTGCGATCAGGAGATTTAATGGAAGAGGAGTAGGATCCAGACCGATTGCGATCCCGCGCTGATATGCGTAAATGAAAGAGAGAGAAAAAGCCCTGGTTTAGCATTCAAAGCAGCATGCATGGGTCACGCAAGCCAGCTATAATGATAATAATCACTATAATACACAACGGCCCAAAATCACTCTGTTTAAACTGAAAACATTGCAGCAAATCAATCAACAACTTAATTGGGCACATATCATTTCAGATATCTGAGAAATTTAATGACTGTACAGATTTTAATATCTGTCCGTTTAAACGTTAAACAAAAATATGGAAAGTCCAAGTGAGATTTCAACAGATTCTTCCATTTTTCTTGCTATGTCTGTGTGAATTAGATTCACTTGAAAGTATCAGTCCAATGCTTATTTATGGCTTTCATACTTCTAATATCATATGTGGTGTCAAGGATTTTAATTAAAAAAATATATATATATTGAAATTTTCACTTTTTGCTTAGGGCTGAGAGCTACAGTAGCCACATGAAGTATAGCAGAACTGAAGAGGAATCTTGCTTTTAATCAGTTCACTGTGAAGATGACAAGTTTCTTTTGTATTATTTGACTTTAAGGGTAAACAAGATATTATACTTGTTTCTCAAGATTGACGGAATATTATGGTGTGACATAAAACTTGAAATTGACTTAAAATACTTTCATTTATCAAACAATTACTTTAACTTTAATTTAGCAAACTGCTCATAGATGGCACTAGTACTGGGCATGTTTTGTGCAATGTTTAGTGTAAACTTATCATGCCAGTTTATCAATTCTTCAACAACTTTTTTTTCCTAAAAACAGTAAGTGCAAAATGACCTTGACTGATATTAAACTCCTATTTTCACTTTTTCTTTGTTCTTTTTGACTAAATCCAATTATACGACAGATAACCAAATCAATAACTGAAATTTTAGATTACTTTAAAATTTCTATGACATAATATATAATTTATGCTTCTCCTTATCATATGTATTTTTGCCTGGTCAAACTGTGAAGAAGCTTTACTTTTCACAAATGAAAGCTGACGCTTAGCATGAACTTGCTGCACATATCAGCCCACATTACGGAACAAAGCTATATATATATATATCTAATATATAACTTTGAAAGCATGCAGTTTGGGGTGTGCTGGCCACAGAAAAATGTTTAAACATTGTTAAACCATCACTACAACATTATATGACAACAGGACATGGTTAATTCTACTGAAACTACAATTAGTAACTCCAATTGGTTTACAAAGGGAATTGTCATTCAAAAGCATTTATGTTATTTACAACAATTATATTTATGGGTTTGTTGTTCGAAAAGGGGGTTAATTGACATTATCCCTTTCTTAATGCAGAAATGTGCACATGAAGATTGCCAATGATATAATAATTATACATTAATTTTCTATGATGTTACCTTTAATAAAATGTTATGTTTGATGATTAGAAAGTGACAATGAATAGAAAAGAACCCTGAAGAAAAAAATCATTAGTAACACGTACTTGCTTTAATATCAGTATACAAAAATTTGCTAACAACTCACCATAAAATAAATAAATAAATAAATAAATAAAACATGAATATATTCACCATTTCAAACAACCACAAATCACAAGATCTACAATTCACACAAACCCACATACATGCACGTATCACTGAATGACCATTGAACACGACCCAATTCTTTTTTTCCTCTTTTTTACCCCAAAATTTATTGGTAGTTTATTCAAACTTCTGTCGTGTTTGTTGGGATGCACCTTGGATTCATCACCGTTTGGTACAATGGCATGCATCAGAGGCCCTGATATATTTTTCAATCAACATTCTGTTCAATAAGAAGTAACAAGAACTCTGACAACATGGTTAGTTTTAGCAAAATATTTAATAAACTAGCTGCTTACAGATATCATAATAGTATAGTTCTCTTTATATCACCCTCAGTTTCTAAGGGCTCATTCCCAATCAAACTATTGTTCCACCTAGATCGATCCAACTCCGGAGGAGACTCTTTCTGATTGCAATCAGTTAATATGCCTTCTCTTGTTTTAGTACTACTTGTTTCACCAGCTTTTCAATATTCAACTCAGAGGGAGGCAAATTTATCTGTTAACCTGATTGCATTAAGCCAGTCCCCAACGGAGTTGATCAATCCTTGAACTATAGTTTCATTTGATATGAGCCCTAACCTTTTACAATTTAAGTTGCTATATAGATTATCTGTAAAAAAAATCCATGCCACATGTAAGATGAGTAAATGGGAAAACATTCTTAAGCAGGAAAGCTAATTCTTACAACTACGCAACTGTAAAACTGCAGCAGTTAGAACTAAGCTACAGGCAACATGTCATCCTCATGAATAAAATGAGTTGAAAAAAGTACATTTGTGAATAAGATCTTTAATCAAACTGTCACATGCACAGTGTATCAAAAGAATGTAGAGCACAAGTGAACTAAAATGTCTTAATTGTAAAAATTGTACTCTGTAAATGATTTAAAACCTTAAAATGAATCATAAGATTTGATTTATGATCAGAAGCTTGATTTCAGACAGTGAAATAAAAAACCTAAGCAATATAAAATTTTGCTGTGTGAAAGTTGAAAACTATAAATGAATTACCCAGTTATGACTTAAAACTGTGTCTAAAAGATATGAAATGTGCAAACTATACATAATAATATATCCATAACTGAAAACACATTACTGATGCACAGCTAAAACTGCACAGCAATCTTAGTGAAAGGTGAATAGCACCAATCAATCAGTGTCAGTTAAGACTTTCTATGGAACATAATAAGGAAAATGGCAAATCACAGTGAAAGCAACTTCGTTAAAAGGGTTTAAATTCATCAAAGGGTGAAAAAATGCACTAGAAGTCGAGCAAACAAGCAATCAAGCCACTCACGTGCTGTGACGACAATAGTCGGCAGAATGGTGAGATTATGGCATGACTTAGCTATGTCTCGCTGCCTGCCCGGAGAGCGGCTGTCAGAACTATTGGAGTAATCGGCAGACTTCACCTGCTTCAGCGGACGTTTTCGTACATCTACATGTACACAAAAGCAGTTCTAATGTACTACGCCAAATTTCCCCAAACCAACTTACTTACTAGACTAATATGCAACTACCAGTCTAATTCCTCTATAAGAGTAACATTTTAGTTTCTATCTAGCAAGTAAAACATACCAGCTAATCTAAATATAGCACTTTTATATGCAAGTGTTTCTCCTAAGTTGCTTTGTTTTCAATTCTGAGTAGCTGTTTGTCTAAAAGATCAAGGATGTTAAATCAAATATACCAAACATCCATTCATTGCAATTAACTTTCAAAAAACAATTTTTGGATGAAAAAAGTAAGAAGCATTCAGATTTAGCCAGACATGCATAAACGTTTTCAATTCTTTGTCTCTGTCCACATAAAATGACTTCAAGAGAAACAAACAGTGCTAGCAAAAAATGTATCATAATAATAATAATAATAATAATAATAATAATAATAACAATTCATATCAAAACTTGCAGTACAGAAAAAATCTTAAAGTCAACATTCTGGTTCCACAAAGATAAGATCATCATCTTCCAAGCAAAAGTGGCAATAACATTTACATTCTTCTTTTTTTCTAATGTTTCCATTCAGAACTTGCTCATAAAATGTATAAATCCACTGTGTTGAAGAAGACAAAGAAGTCTTTAGGTGATCTTCTCTTCAATAAAGAAGAAAAAGAAAAAAAAAGCTCCTCTCAACTACATATTCAGGCAATAGCAAATTGCCTTTCAAGCTAAACAAAGAAAGCTCTAAAAATGTAGCATAGTGCATCTTTTTTGCCTTCAGATATTGAAAAAGTGTTTTTATTCTGCATGGTCAGAGTAAAGTGCATTGATCAATCCAAAATAAGAAAGTTGAACTTATCACCGTGTATCAATGATCATTCAGCGTTGAAAGCAATCATTTCATCCATCCTCAGCACACTACATACCATACAACCAGTTCAATTTGGAAGAACTATATTTATTTTTGTTGGCACACTCACCTTTTTTGTATAGAATATTCTTTTTCGATGAGGTTCAAAAATTTAAATATTGTAATTTTCATAATATGCTCTATGATAAAATAATATAAATTGGGTGAGTTACACTTCTTTCCAAATAAAACCAAACTTATATTTGAAAAGAACAAAATCACAAGGCCTTGTCCTAGTGTTGAAGTGAGTTCATGCCCAATTAGTTTTCCACCAGTTATTTTCAAACTGTTTGTACGTGAAATGTGCTGAAATTTCCAACATCACAATGTACAAAGACACAGGAACATACCACAAGCAAATT